ACAGTCTTCTTATCGGTCATTGCAGCGTTCTCCTGTCTTATAACTCGCCAACCACAGTTTCACAGCATCAATAATCGTGGGTATTGAATTAGTTTTACTCATTTGAAGAATTCATACTGTATTAGACTGATTTCGAAATTGTTTTTTTCACAAAATCAGTGGAAGCCTAACTTTGTGAATGAAGGAAATCCTCTGGTTCGTTGGCAAACTGCCTTTCAAAGCTACTTGAGAAGAGTGTCGTGAGGAATTATGATCAGTGTGATTGAATTGAAGGGGTTCCGAATGATGATTTCGCTCCAGTGGGAATTGGTATAGCTTTAAAAAATGTGTAGATTTTGATTCTAATTGGAGGGCTAAATGACAGTGGTGGATACGAAGCCTGTTGACTTTGTGCTTTACCTCACAAGTGTCATTGACGAGTAATACTGAAAATTTGAAATTATAAATATGCTGACTGTTCTCCTCTATTTGATTCTCAACACATTATCATTATTATTCGGGCCCAAATAGCTGAGTGGTAGCGTCAATGACTGACTGGTGCACTGGTTGATGACGCTGGTTCGAATCTCGCAAGGAACATGAGTTCCTCCAATTTCGCACATACGCTCTATTGACTGGAGAGTGCCAACGAGCACGAAACCTAGGTCAGGAAAGGCTTCCTGCCGATTGCCAGACGGGCTCAAACTACCCAAATTCTGACCACCTATCCGAGTAAACAGGCAATACTTTAATTGAATGTTAGATTTTCCCTTCGATTGATTGGACCGAAGTGCTCGGTCTCAGGTTGACATGTTATCGGCTTCTCTTGTGCAGATGCTTCGACGATGTCTGGGCATTTAATTAGAATTTAATTGGTGGATCGTGACTAGCAGTGGAATCCAGGATAAAGAACATTTCGTCCTATTTTCGACTCGTCATCTGGATGTACCTGCATTTCTCAGTGAGTGATCATGTTCCCACCGAGGCTCGAACCCAGTGCCCATTCTAATTAAATGCCCGTTGCTTAAGAGGTGGCTCTCGTGGCCCAAGTGGTCTCGTAGATAACGCTTTGGCGTTTGAAACTATGGGCACTGGGTTCCAGCCTCGGTGGGAACATCATCACTCATTGGGAAATACAGATACATCCAGCCTACAAATATCAAATAGGACGAAATGCGCCTTATCCTTGATTCCACTGCTAGTCACCATCCACCAATTAAACAGGCAATACATTGAGTGAAATTCACAGTTTAAAATGAATTTCATATAAAACTGTACGGATACTAGAAACTTGAATAATGAAATAAAATTCGTTTTTTAATATTTTTTTTTCTTAAAAAGCTATAAGTGTGTATTTTTCGTGAAACCTCTAGCTCAACCATACATGGATAATATAACTGATTCTGTTACAAAATCTATGAAAAAATAACTATTCCTAACAAAAGATAGATTTGTTACACTGGTCGTTGTTATATCATGGAATCAGTTGGAAAACCATAAAACAAACTCGAATGTGTATGAAAAGAAAGTCCGTAATGAAGTCTGTCCTCTCTATTTTTCCTATTTGAAATTTTTTGCGCCACCTGAATCACAGTATCCAAATGCAGTATTTAATATTGATTGATTTATTTATTGATTGAATAGTTTGACATCACACAAGGTGAGTGTTTTTACATGGTGAGGTTGTTGACCACACACCGATCCAACCTTACTTTTTTCCCGGGGTCTTACTATCAGATTAGGGGAAGGTATGGGAGTCTATCGGCTTGTAATCGTACCCGGATCTCCTGCATGCCTGGCTGGTTGGCTGGCTAGCATCCTTCCACTGAATCACCAAGACCACTTCAACTTACCGCTTAACACATAAAAACATTCTATTCTTGATTTGTTATCTAACTTTTTTTTATCCCATTATGGATAAGATTTTATTTTGATAAATCATACAGCGTTGTACAGTAATATTAAATGAAGCTTCTTTTACCTGATTGGTTGATACTAGTTGGTTGGATGGATAGTACTCACATCAACTACTAGTGCTTGCTGACCAGCTTATTTATGGATGAGCTTATCAGTCAGTGGCGAACCCTGTTCGACACCCACACCAGGCCTCTGAATGGGCTCAAACCATCCAAATTCTGACCACCTATTTGAGCAAACAGGCAATACACTGAGTGAAATTCACGATTTGAAATGAGTTTCATGTGAAACTGTACGGATCCCAGGAACTTGAAAAATAAAATAAAATTCTTCAATTTTTTGGTTACAGGATTTCATCATGAGCTTCCATTGGTTAGAGAACCATTCGAAAACCTGGGAGTACTGGAGTTCGGCACTCCTCATCAGTACGCGCCCACAGGGACTCGAACCCAGGACCTTCTGGTTACAAGGCAAGCTAGCTCGTAGACCATTAAGCCAGCCACTGGGACCCGCCAATCCAATGGCCAGCCCATGAATTCCAACTTCTGCGAATTTACGACATATCGCTACCGCTAGCCAACGTCTTCAGCGAGTATTCGTCCTCACGCCCGACCTACTGAACCCTACTGGTCAGGACTTCCCACTAGAACCCAGGTAACTACCTAGGACGAAACAGCTGTCCAGTACTCCCTGCTGCTTTTCAAATGCTTCTCCAACCAATGTCAGCTCATGATGAAATCCTGTAACCAATCAATCGAATCCCTACAAACCAATACTTGAATATCTTCAATTTTTGTTTGTTTGTTTGTTTTTTCTTAGAGGGCTATGGGTGTGTATTTTTCATGAAATCTCTAGCTCAACCACACACACACATGGATTATATAGCTGATTCTGCTATAAAATCGATGAGAAAATAGAAGTATTTCTTAACAAAAGATAGATTTGTTACACTGGTCGTTGTTAGATCATGGAATCATTTGGAAAATCATAAAACAAACTCGAGTGTTTGTGAAAAAGAAAGTCCAAAATAGAGTCTCTTCTCTATTTTTTTCCTATTTGAAATTTAAGCCACTTGAATCACAGTGTCCAAATACAGTATTTAATATCGATTGATTTATTGATTGATTGAATATACACATTGGATCATAGGAATTATGGAAAAGACGGTTGCAGTGAAGAAAATTTTCCTGTCGACGAAGTCAGCAACAACTAGGCTGTACATTCGCTTATTTATAACAAATGGGTGGGAAAGTTGCAGAATAATTTCCTGTCAAGGGTCAAATTAATAAAATTACAATTAGGAATTAAAATGCCATAATAAACAGGGGGGGGACGGATAAAACTCAAACAAAGTAGCATCATAATTACTGAGAAGGTTGACATATTGTGCAGTTAGGGGTTAGAAATGTAGAAATAACAAAAATAGACAGGATGTTTGGATAAAAAATCTAATGGGATCATAACTAATGTGACGAATAATTGTTTATGCAGTTAGGAATTAAATATGTAGAAATAATAAAATAACAGAATAGGCAGGAAGTTCGGATATGAAAATATGGTAGTGTAAATAGGGATTAAGAAAAACTTAAAAATAACATGAATAAACAGGAAGTTTGGATAGGAAAGGCAATGGGATAGTCACTATTAAAAGAATTACCTGTTTATGATGGCCATGGCAGGGACAAGGGTTGGACGTATTTCTTTTGGATACAAAGCGTGGGTTTGAGCTTTTGGATAGCTAGTGCCTCGGCTATGCCCAGATGTCTTAATTTTACTCCCTTTGATAGGTTTGATCGAATCTTGTATATTATTTTGAAGGATTTTTCGAATGACGCTGAATGTCCTGAATTGACCAGATGTTCTGTCACTGAACTATATACACGTTTTCGTTCTCCTTTTACTAGCCAGGCTGGATAGTGTTCACGAGCGCGTTTTTCAAGTTAGCGCATGGTACGGCTGATATACTCAGCTCCGCATGAGCAAGTAAACTGGTATATGCACGGTGAAGTGGCCTAATGCTACAGCTTGTCTCTCGCGTTCTGGCTGAGCAGTTTCTTGCAGGAAGACGTCAGTCGTAGGCTTGCGGCGAAGTATGTTTTCCTCAGAGATTCGCAGAGGCGTTTAAGAAGGATTTCTGCTTCAATGTCGCCTTTTAATTCTAGATTAAGCACAAGTATCTTCTTCCGGACGGATTGGACTTGTTCAGAAGTCTTCTTTGATTTGAGATTCTTGTCTATGAACCTAGGCAGAAAACCGTTTTCCATCAGGGTCCCACTGAGATCACACAGTTCTCCATCAATCACTTCCTCGCTGCATATCTTCTGAATCCTCGAGGAAGGAGAGTATATAAGGTTCCTCTTTCTGCTTAGGGGCACGAAGCTTTGAAAGTTGATGAATTGTCCATTCCATGTAGGCTTTTTGTATATGGACCTTTTCAGAGAGTTGTTGGCGTTTCTTGTCAGATGGACGTCGAAGAAGTGGAATATTCCTTTGGATTAGGCTTTAAAAGTAAAGTTGATGTTTCGGTGGGCGTTGTTGAAGGTTTGAAATAAGTTTTCAAGGTCGTAGGTTCTCATCACAAATGATGACAGTATCATTAATTTATCTCTTGTAAATGTGGAGATCAGTGATGATCGATGATAAGAAGTTGTTTTCGAGGCTGGCCATAAAACAGTCGGTCAAGAGGGGTCCCAGTGGAGAGCCCATTGCTACACCATCTGTTCGCCCATGCAGATTTCATCGTTGAATCTGAAGTAGACGTTGAGGGTACAACGTAGTGACAGCTCCTCTAGATAATGTATCGGTGTGCCGGCATCTATGCTGTTGCATCATCACCATCGATCTTTTCCCTGCAATATGTTGCATTAGAGTTTAGGACTGTCACACTGTCCATTCCTGTTGTATGGATTTGTGTGACTAAATGTGGTGTCATAGCTGAGCTTCTTTCTAGATTATTTATCTTATTAAGGTCTACTGGTCTAGATTCCTCTAGACTTTCGTACTCCACTAATCTAATTGATTCTCACCATTCAACATTCAATTCTTGATTTTTCATCCTATACATTTTTTTGTTTGTTTTATCTTTCTATTTTCTCCATGATTAGATAATGTTCTGTACAAGAAATACGCATAAATTAGATATGGATAAGCTGTTATCCTATGAAATTGGCTTGAATGATTTCCTTTTCGCTCATATACAAGGTCAACCGAAAGAGATTAAAATACGCAAAACAAGTGAATCATTCGGTTTAACACTGACAGATAATGGTTGTGGTGTTGTCATTATAAAACGTTTACAACCAAATGGTTTAATGGATAGAGTATCAAAAGCCTGTGGCAGTCTAATACAACCTGGTGATCAAATTGAAAAAATTAATGATATATCATTCACGGGTAAACGTCATTATCATGTTGCTGGATATTTACAAAGTATTCCTTTTGGAGATGTATTCTGTCTTCGATTAATTTCACCAGAACGTTGTCCTATGTGTAAGTCTATATGTATATATATGTATCATAAATTATTGATCAAGAGAACTCTTCTCAATAACTTACTCTTCAAGCTTTAATGTTATGTACTCATATTACGTAAATAACGAATTTTGTGTAACAATTTAATGTAGTGTCATGTCAACCCGAATACCTCAATGATAACGTTTCTGACTGCCTGAAGCACTCACTGGGTGACGCGGGTTCGAATCTCAGAAGGGATATGAGTTCCTTCAAGATGGCAGTTGAGTGCCAACGAGCAGGAAACCTAGGTCAGGCAGGGTTTCTTACCGATTGTCCCCAGCCATGTAATAATGTTAACTGTTTTATGTGCGTCTTTGGCTTAGCGACAGAATGCTATCCAGCCATGAAACACAGACGCCCTCCTAAACTTCTCGTAGCTGGTAATGAGGCCGGTAAAGATAGAAGGTTGGACATGAGGCTGGCAACCCCCACACCACCCCCGTGTTGACCACCTCACTTATTTTGGGAGGAAGTTGCATCGGCCAGCCCCAGCGGGTTGATCGCTGACAAAATCTCATCACGGATACAGAGGGCTAGTTTCGCATATGCCAGTTTACGCCGTCCCTGGCTTAGTAGACATGATATCCGGCTGGCTGTCGACCAAAGGACGTGTGTACTGCTCAGCAGTCGGCTCTGTCATCCTTTATGGCTGTGGGACCTGACCATTGAGAGTGAAAGACATGGAAAGGCCGGCCAGCTGTCTTTGATCATAGGTGTCTGAGTTCTATCCCCCGTGTGAAGTGGTATAGAAGGGTGAGCAATATTGAGGTTAGGCTTTGGTCGAGTGCTAGGTAACGAGGAGAAATCAATAGACGAGGCTGTGAAGCTACATCGACTGAGATGGTTAGAGCATGTGTTACGTATGCCTAGTCATTACCTTCCTCGACGGACAATGTTAGCTGACATAGGGTCAGGTTGGAAAGGAGCCAGTGGTGGTCAAACCGAAACATGGTCTCATCAGTCAATAAAATCCACAACAATTAGTTTAAGCCAGCCAGTCAAGTAGGAAGGTGCGGACTTCTTGACTGGTTCTGGGGACGGTAAATACCAATTAAAGCTCGAGACAATTGGTGATATGGCTCAAAGTGATCGTTCTCAATGATAGCGCAGATGCATCCACTCCTTGTGACTTATTATACCCAATAAAACTGTGTTGTTCTTCGATATTACTATTCTTTTCGCCTCATATCTCTATTTACTGTCTCTATTTTGCGTTTCTTTTTACTTTCTTCTGTGGCTTTATGTACTGAGTGAAGTGTGGCGACTCGAACTGCTGCACATCTGTGCTGTGCAAAGTTCTATGTTGAAACCAGCCAGCCAGTCAGTCAGCCAAGTAAAAATAAAACACCACTGCTACTGAAACTTCAAAGCTCTAGCTTGAAGCCATCCTATGTTCCACCCGGAAAGTAAAGAAATAAAGTAAAATTAAGAAAACAGTGCTTCTGTAGAGTTCAGATAATCGGCGTGTCAGTAAAAGCATTTTCAACTGTCTGTAGACTTTCATCACCAGCTGTTCCCTTCTCAAAATGTACTAAAAATCAGAGAGGATAAGTGACAAGAAGGTCTAGCAGCAAACTAACCAGGTGGTCGATTAGAACCAGGTTGGGAAGAGATGAGTTGGACCTCTGAAGGTGATCTAGAGAAGCATGTGAAGAAGAAATGAAGCCTTGTGGGGTGGGGCAACTGAAAATAACGGTAGAGAGAGCAGAGAGCAGTGGAGATTCACTGCTGAAATCCCATGTCCCACTCAGAATGCAAGGAAAGACCAACTATAATAATATCAGTTCAATAAGGACTGATTTTTTAAAATCTAATCATTAAAACCGATGTTTATTATCACACCATATGTTCAAATAACCTTCAGGAAAATTACAAATTAAGTTTCCCAAAGCATCCAGTAATGACAGCGAGAATAAAGAACCAATTACCAATAGATTAATTGCATGGAGGATTTCATCATGAGCTGACATCAGTTAGAGAACCATTGGAAAACCCGGGAGTACTGGACAGCTGTTTCGTCCTAGTTTGGGACTCTTCATCAGTATGCGCCCACCGGGATTCGAACCCAGGACCTTCTGGTTACAAGGCGAGCTCGTAGACCAGCTTTCCAGTGGTTCTCTTACTGATGTCAGCTCATGATGAAATCCTCCATGCAATTAAACACAATCCCTACCAAGCCAATACTTGAAAACCAATAGATTAGCCATTTCTTGTTGTACTCATCAAGCCAACTGATCATGTTAGGCTATTTACGTCAGCCGTTGTCCTACGAATCTAATCGGTCAGTCTCAAAACATCTTCCAGTGTAATGATGTTATAAAGAGTATGAAGAGAGCTAACACAGACCCCTCATTCTTCGTTATTTACCATTTTTCTACCAATTTGCTAAGAATGGTTGGTCTTTAGATGCAGGCAAAAATTGCACAAATGATAAGAATACGAATTTAAAAAAATAGCCTAAATTATGCATTCAGAAGAAACATGTACAACCTCCACCAATGAATTGGCGAGCTTTATAATCAGGAAATCCTTGTGCACCATATACATACGGACTTTTATTTCCAATCTTCAACAAATTATGTAATTGTCTTCTTAGATCACAGGCGTATATATATGTATAATGGTCTACGAGCTCGCTTGGTAGCCAGGAGGTCCTGGGTTCGAACCCTGACGGTGGGTGCGTATTGCTGAAGAGTCCCAAACTAGGCTGATAAAACAGTTGTCCAGTATTCCCAGTTGGTTTTCCAATGGCTCTCTAACTGTTGTCAGCTTTTGACCAGTCCTGTGGCCAATAAAATCTCTGCAAACCAACAATTGATAATTAATTTGATGCGCCCTAGTGACTGGCCCTATACAGGAAGTTACCTGGGGTTACTCGCCTATCACACCGGTTGGCGGTAGCACTTAATATACATCACGAATTAGCAGAATTAGGAACTCATGGGCCATTCAGTTGGGTCTCAGCGGCTGTATGGTCTATGAAATTGCCTTGTGACCAGAGGGTCGTCAGTTCGAACCCTGGTGGTTGGTGCGTACTGTTGAAGAGTTCGAAACTAGGCTCATGAAACAGTTAGCTGTCTGGCAGTACTCGAGTGCTGGTTCTTCAGTGGTTCTCTAACCGAAGTTACCTCATGGGGAAATCCTGTAACTCTTTTCTAAAGAATACCAACAAACAGTCAGTCTAGCCGTAGGACTTCTTTACGAAATACTTCTTTTGACAACAACTGACTTCGTACAGGCTTTGTTACTTCTGGCTAGTGTCCAGATGTTTATCAGGTTGTGGTTGTACCTGTGGTATAAACAGGAAGCCGGTTGAAATTTCATTGATTGGTAGCTTTGCAAATCATCTAAAAATGTGTTCTTATTTTTCTCCTATTCCTCTACGTTCCCAGTGGAATGTAGGGCTTCAGGCTTTAGCTTTGAAGTTTCGGTAGAAGTGGTGTTAGTTTCTACAGGATGAGGTTGCTAGCCTCATTCATAGCCAACCTCCACTCTTTACCGGCCTTACCGCCGGCTCCACGAGGTTTAGGATTGTATCTGTGACCGGGAGTCGAACCTCAGACCATGTGATTCGTAGTTGGCGAAAATTCTACCGCGGAACCACCAACACACAAATCATCTAAAATCTGTTAGAGAACCACTGGAAAACCTGGGAGTACTGGACAGCTGTTTCGTCCTAGTTTGGGACTCTTCGTCAGTACGCACCCAACACCAGGGTTCGAACCCAGGACGTTCTGGTTACAAGGAGAGCTAGCTACTAGACCATTAAGCCAACCACTGGGACCCGCCAATCCAATGTTCCTTGAATTCTAACTTCTGCCAATTCACTACATAGCGCGACCATTTCGCAATGTCTTCTTCGATGAGTTACTGCCCCATCTTCAACCTGCTGTACCCTACTGGATTAGGTCCCAGTGGCTCAATGGTCTACGAGCTAGCTCGCCTCGTAATCAGAAGGTCCTGGGTTCGAATCCCGGTGGGTGCGTACTGATGAAGAGTCCCAAAGTAGACCGACGAAACAGCTGTCCAGTACTCCCAGGTTTTCCAGTGGTTCTCTAATCAAACGAAATCCCTACAAAACCAATACTTGAAAACATCTAAAATCTATTCAGCTAATTGGATAGAAAACCGAACTAGATCATTCAATTGACTCTATCATATGAGCAATTTGAGTAATATGATGAATACCTTAAGATACAGCCATGTGTTTCATCATAAATGTTAATGTTATCCAACTGACTCTAAAATATGTAATATATCTAAAGCATCTCACGTTTAAGCATTATAGATTAGAGCAATACTGTGTGTACCACCTGCGTAGGATAACGAACAATCATTCATTCTATGCTGACTGACTGACTGATTGAATCATTGATACGAAATTTTTAACCTGCTATTTACACAAATAAATAATTTAAAAATTTTATTTCACAATTATTATTTTTTTCTCCTTGTTTTTGTTTTTGTCTTTTTTGCGAGTCGGAGGGGAGGCTTTTGTTTGTATACACAATGTGGGTGTGTAAGTGTGTGTGTGTGTGTGTGTGCGTGCGTGCGTGCGTGCGTGCGTACGTGAGTTTTATCTCAGGCAATAAGTACAATTGAAAATAAACGAGATATTTAGAGAAGTAGAGAAACACACACGTACACACACTAGAAACAAACAACACAGTTGTGTGTGTGTATGTGTGCGTACGTGTTATACTTGCACACAGTAAAATATTGATTCTCTCTCTCAATATATATCTGCCTCGACTAGAGAGTAGTTAGTAGTGTATGTTAGAAATGTGATACAGTAAAAATACCACCACCAACAACTACTACTAGAACGACAACAGCAAAAACGACAGTAATGTAGTTAGTTAGTTAATCGATTAATAATAAATTTGAAATTAGTGCCTTTCTTTTTTTATATGAATTGAATGTGTTAATTTTTCATTAGAAAGTGTGGCTTTTATATCATGATAGACGTGACTTAT